GCAGTCCCCAGGACTCCCCCAGACTGTCTGCTGCCCCTCCTGCACTGCTGTAGTTCCCTACAACTCTCCCAAACTATCTGCTGCCCCTCCCCACTGACACAGTCTCCGAAAGAGAGTGTTAGAAGTAATCTACAATTCACCTCCCTCTGCTCCCAGCTGACTCCCCAAAGCTTACACTGACTGTCTCTCTCCTCAGCCTGAGCTGTGAACATCACCTTGAATTGATAACTTACAGTTCTCCACGGTTATAACTTAAGAGACATGAAGGAAAAACGTTTGTTGACAATGACTCTTTTGTGTCAAGTAGCTATTATCTTCTAGTGCTGTAAGCTTCTGCCTTATTTGTCCCTCCATCACCTGCTGGGCTAGCACCACCGAAGTGCAAACAGGACTCCCAGCAGGAGCCCTGGAGTCAGCAGGCTTCTGCCAAACTAAACAAAGTACTTTAAACAGTCACAGATGACACCCAGGGCAGCTGTACTGGTCAACCTCTCAGTTGCAAGTCTCAAAGCTAAACTTGGTTTTGGACCCCTGACTGAGGTCTCTCTTCCCAGCATCATATCCCCTGGGAGACAGCTTGGGTTCATGTACCTACCTCCTGTGAGAGGAGAGAGAGATGGGTGGGCCCCAGACAAGAGGAAAATGCAATCCTAGAGTTGTGGGCAGTGGGGAGCTATAGCAAGATACCTCTTGGGCCTCAGCAAGGACTAAATGACAAGGGGGGAGGGGTCTTGCCTTGACCAGCTCAGACAGCTATACAATTCATCACTCCATACCTATATTCTTCTCTACCTGCCAGACTGCCTCCCGGATCCCTTCCTACCTGTGCTCTTTCCATTCAGGTGGCATAAGGAGAGGGTCAAAGGTTTAGGGTGAGGCAGGGCAGGGTGGGGCAAGTTCTAAACCAGCCCCTTTGGGCTTCTTCGTCTGTTAGTGATTCTAATGAACAGCCTCTAAAGTGAGTCTTTCAATGTGAATCAGCCTACTGTCCATGAGACAAAATGTGTAAGAAAATCAGCTTCTAGGAAGTTTGCTTGTCTGTCTGTCTGTCTGTCTGTCTGTCTATTTCTTCCTGTTTCAGAGTTTTTGATTCATGACCACTTGGCCCTGTTTGGGGCCCTATGCTGACACAGTTCACCGCAGCAGAGAGGGTGTGTTGACTCAAAACTGTTCTTGTCAAGGCAGCTGAAGAAATGAGAGTAACAAAGCCACTGCCCTTCAAACCCTTTAGGCTATGAATTCATTGATGAGATCTGAGCCCTCCTGACCCAATCCCCCCTCCCAAGCCTCTGTTTCTAAATTACTGCAGTGGGGACACACACTTAACACGAGTTTGGGGACGGGGGGGGGGGGGGTTAATATCCAAACCATGTACCTCTGTCCAGACTCTTTGGAACATCCACAGGATAAAGAAAGGAACGCTTGCCTCTTTTCCCATTTCTATATCCCAGGACCTGGTGTGATAGTTTAAGGGCAGCAGGAAGGCAACCTTGGTGGTTGGAACTGAGGGACACCACAAAGTCACAGCAAGCAACAGAGCTTGTGTGGGAGGTTTACTGGGGGACATGCAGAGGCTGGCCTCTGAAGGGGAGTAGGAGGAGTGGGGGTCAGGAAGGGCTTGTCTTTTATTACTTAGAGAGAGTGCTCTACTTGGTAACTGTGGTAGGGGCACACAGCTGCTGCTGCTGACTTGTCCTGCTAGGTCTCTGGGAGCAGGCAGAGTAACTGCCTGAGTGCTGATAATGGGAACTGGTGAACAGATGGGTGAATCCTCCTCTAGAAGCCTATCCCATCTTTGCCCACTCCTTCACCCACCATCTGGGTGGAATGCGCCCTCCCCATGGTTCCCAATGGCCTTCATGCTAATCCATGCTAATTCTTCTGTCCTGAACTGATGTCTCTACATCACTTAAGCTTTCTGAGCATCCCTTCTTATCCCCAGACTTTTTCCCTAGTGGCCTCTGATTCGGGTTCTTCTCCTGGCTTTCTTCCTCTGTTTCGTGGATTCTGTCTCCAGTGTCTTTAAAGGACAAACTCTCCTGCGTCATCCCCTGACCATGGCCGCGCCATAAGCACACCATTATCTCTCACGAGCTCCCTCAGCTTCAGCTGTCATCCTCACGTCAGTAGTAGCCTCCTGAGTCATATTTCCTATGTCTCCAATCACCTCCTGTCTTTTGTTACCTTGTCTGCATGGTAACATCCCAAACAATGTCCAATGTCCCCCCCCCAACACCTCCTCTTCATCTTCTTCCTCTCCTGTGACTTCCATATCTGGAGCAGAAACCTGTCATTCTGTTATTTCAAAACCGAAACCAAAGGACGAGGGTAGCTCAGGGGTAGAGCGTTTGACTAGCAGATCCCAGCCCCGGGGTGATCTTCCATCTCCAACACAAACAACTCAGAAACATGTGAGTCATCTCCACCTCCTCCATGTCCAAAGAGCCACCAAGTTCTTGTCACCTGAGCCTGTTTCTCGCGTTGCCCCTTGTTGTCTGTCCACCATCACCATCTTGAACAACTCTGGTAAAGTCAGAGGGCTCCCAAGGACTTAATTATATCACTAACGCTTAAAATAATCACCAAGTGGAAATTAGAAAGCGCCTAGAGAGTTGAATGTCATGCGTCAGCAAGAGGGATGTCCCGAAGGTCAAGAAGTCAATCTCCAAAGCGAGAAGGTGATATAGACCAAAGTAAACATGGGTTTTCAAGAATGCTGACATGGAGGGAAGGGGGCTCTTCCCCGTAGATGTGAAATGAAAAAAGTTGCAAAGAACACTCTGGGAAAGCTGACTGGGCAGATGATGTCATGTTCATGCCGAGAGGGTAAAGAACACAACACGTAGCTCCTATAGTCTTTGTACCTTTTCATAAGAAGAGAGATGGGTGGCTGGAGATCAGCAGGGAAAGCATGCCCTGAAGTGCCTGGTAAGGAGGTATCAGTGACCCTGGTATTTTGCAAAGCCCATTCAGGACCCAATTGGTGCAATCATTGATCCACCCTCAAGCACATGTACTCGGGTGGTACACCGCAGACCTGTGCCTGTTCTACACTGGGAGTCAGACAACCAATAGGACCCAGTCCCTGCCCTCAAAACATTGTGGAGACCATCTCATATGTAAGTAAGGAATAAGCCAGGTGTGATGATGCCTATAGTCCTAGTACTCAAGACTAGCCTGAGCTGCCCAGTGAGAACCTATTTCAATAGTAAATAAATAGACAACGGGGTATAAATACATGGGGTATGATGGAAGACCATGAAAAGAATGTAGAGCTTAAAGAAGAACTCAATCCCACCTAGCACATGGAGTCTCCTGCCACAGTGGATTCTCTCAGGGGCTAGCTGAAAGAACCCTTTTTAACACAATGTGGAAATGTTTTGAGCAGAGCACAACATGATTATAACAATTCAATAGATGGATTAATTCATTCATGACATCAGAACCCTCCCTGAGCCATTCACCTCCCAAACCACATGGGAAAGACGTCTGAATGAGTTGACACTTGATGTCAAAAGTCAAGTAAATAATGGTCAGTGGTGGTGATGAGTAAGACTATGCCACTGAGAAGAACACAATCAAGCTGCCAAGATGGTATGGGAAAGCTGCAAAAGGCTAGGTGGGCCTGGGAGGTCAAGGAACCCAATAAACCTGAAAAAACAAGACAGAGATAGGCTAACTCCCTTGCATTAAAACAAAGAACATTTCTATTTTTCATCCCATTGTTTACTAAATGTATGGCAAGTGTGTATAGGCGTTAGATATTGTAGCTATACAGAAGGTACAGATACTATTGTCATTTTATATAAGGGATGTAAGCATTCACAGATGCAGATTTTTATAGTCTTTACATTATTACGTTTTCGATGTTTTCCTCTTTGGAAGCAGCACATCATAGCAACTAAGGATCTTCATTTGAAACTAGATCCCACTGCTTGTGAGTTGAGATGCTGTAAGTTACCTTACCTAGCCTTCCCCGCATAGTTCCTTCTTTTGTAAAGTGAAAATAATGAAAGTATTAATGTCACATGCTGGGTGTAAGAATTAGGAGAAACTTTGAAGTTGTAGCTCAGTGCATAGAACAAAGGGGCACTTGGTGGATAATAGCTGTCCATAGAATGAAGGATTCTTGACCTGTTGTGAGGACCCCAAACCCAACTGAAGTCAGTAGGAGAGATGACTAAACAGCTCCAGAGACTACAAGTTCTTATCCCTTGGCTGCAAGTTCAGAATGAGTCAACCAAGTGTCAAGTTGCCAAAACCATCAACAAATGCCAAATATGCATAGATTCTACTCTATCATCTGTTGAGAAAATGAAATGTATAACCATTGTAGCTAACAATGAAACAATTGATAACACTAAGTGTTGGCAAGAACACAGAACCTCTTGTCTACAAAGCTGAAGACAAAGGAGTTCTTTGGACATATCTAGTTCTAAATGCATCATACACAAACCAAAGCAGTTGTTTTTGATAGCTTTGATGTTAATTTTCCAGATCTCATCTGTCAGCAGTAGACAAAAATCACAGTGAGTTCATGCAAGCAGGATGTTTCAGCAATACAAGCAAGCTAAACTACATGTGCAGCATGCGTGAACCTCATGAACACACCACTGAGAGAACTAAGTCGAAAACCAAGGGGTGCTGATTTAGATAATTTCACTCACATGAAGCTGAAAGCCCTCAGGAAGCTATAGGTTCCCTGGGATATTTTCAGGTGATAAAATGTCCAGGAAACCCAAGAAAGGCAGATCTGGAGATCAGTAGTTGAATCTTTACCCAACCTGCACAAGGCCCCAGTTCATCTCCAGCATTGCAAACTAAAAGGTGTAGAGGTCACCTTCAGGGTGGAAGACAAGTGCTGCCTGAGCTGAGGTGGAAATGGGCA